GACTTTTCACCATTCGCCCGGTAATTAAAAATTCACCTCTCCCTTCCTAATTGAGATTAGGGGATGAAAAAAAGGCAGTTCGACGGAGAATTACATTCTCCATTAATTAACCCTCTTTCATCCCTTAATCTTTGTAACAAAAAAATTAAAATCGCCATGAAAGTCAGGGGCCAGTAAGAAAAATAATTGTTTTGCGGCGCACAGTGACTCCCGGTAATTAAAAATTCACCTCTCCCTTCCTAATTGAGGTTAAGGGATGAAACAAAGACAGTTCGACGGAGAATTAAATCCCTTATCAATTAACCCTCTATCATCCCTTAATCTCTGTAACAAAAGAATAAAAACTGCCATGAAACTCAGGGGCCAGTAAGAAAAGTAATTTTTTCGCGGCGCACACTGACTTTTCACCATTCGCCCGGTAATTAAAAATTCACCTCTCCCTTCCTAATTGAGATTAAGGGATGAAAAAAGGGCAGTTCGACGGAGAATTAAATTTTTCATCAATTAACCCTCTTTCATCCCTTCATCTTTGTAACAAAAAATTAAAAACTGCCATGAAAGTCAGGGGCCAGTAAGAAAAATAATTGTTTTGCGGCGCACAGTGACTCCCGGTAATTAAAAATTCACCTCTCCCTTCCTAATTGAGATTAAGGGATGAAAAAAGGGCAGTTCGACGGAGAATTAAATTTTTCATCAATTAACCCTCTTTCATCCCTTCATCTTTGTAACAAAAAATTAAAAACTGCCATGAAAGTCAGGGGCCAGTAAGAAAAATAATTGTTTTGCGGCGCACAGTGACTCCCGGTAATTAAAAATTCACCTCTCCCCTCCTAATTGAGATTAAGGGATGAAAAAAGAGCGGTTCGACAGAGAATTAAATTCCCCAACAACTGACCCGCTTTCATCCCTTAATCTCTGTGAAAAATGGAAGAAACTGTCATGGAAATAACAGCGCAGTAAGAAAAATAATTGTTTTGCGGCGCACAGTGACTCCCGGTAATTAAAAATTCACTTCTCCCCTCCTAATTGAGATTAAGGGATGAAAAAACGACAGTTCGACGAAGAATTAAATTCCCCACCAATAAACCCTCTTTCATCCCTTAATCTCTGTAACGAAAAAATATAAACTGCCATGAAACTCAGGGGCCAGTAAGAAAAATAATTCTTTCGCGGCGCACACTGACTTTTCACCATTCGCCCGCGAATTAAAAATTCACCTCTCCCCTCCTAATTGAGATTAAGGGATGAAAAAAGGGCAGTTCGACGGAGAATTAAATTCCCCATCAATTAACCCTCTTTCATCCCTTAATCTCTGTAACAAAAAAATAAAAACTGCCATGAAAGTCAGGGGCCAGTGAGAAAAATAATAGTTTCGCGGCGCACAGTGACTCCCGGTAATTAAAAATTCACCTCTCCCCTCCTAATTGAGATTAAGGGATGAAAAAACGGCAGGTCGATGAAGAATTAAATTCCCCACCAATAAACCCTCTTTCAGCCCTTAATCTCTGTAACAAAAAAATAAAAACTGCCATGAAAGTCATGGGCCAGTAACGAAAATCATTTTTTCGTGGCGGACACTGACTTTTCACTATTCGCCCGCCAATTAAAAATTCGGTTCTGCCCTCCTAATTGAGATTAAGGGATGGAAAAAGGGCAGTTGATGAGGAATTTAATTCTCAGT